AGGGTCAGTTGGCTGATCCACTCGGGCTAGGGTCAGCTGAGTACCAGTATTGGGCGTTCTCAACGGATGTTGTGGACATCGTGTCTGATGCTGATGTTTGGGTATAGTGCTCACGAAACCCTGGCGTTGCTGCAGTGTCCTTGTTTGACATTGTAGTGCATCCCCTCATAGGACTCCATGGCGGGTGGGGTCAGTGGGCACTGAATCTTTCTCCTTAATTATGGATCCCCCCAATCCAAATAAAAAAAATGTTAAAACTCTGCTAATCCAGTAAACGACCACACTTAGAAGACTGACCAGCAGTCTCCATCACAAAGTACTCCTGTACCTCGCTTCCTGATCCTGCATTCACTGTCCGATAAATCTTTAGGGCAAATGTCTCCCTTTTTTATTCAGAGGGGCTTGGTGGAGTCCTGCCTGCCAGGAGGCATGGAGGGCTCAAAAACGGGCCTGGGATACCTTCCGACAGTATCTCTCTCTTTCTAACTGCATTGTTTATCAGTGGGCCCGTGCCCATGCTCGGCAGGTTCGACGTCAAAGCCAAAAGGAGTCTTGGATTAAGTTCATTACTAGCATCTCTTCTACCACCAGTTCCAAAACTGTATGGGACAAGATTCAGAAAGTCGCTGGGAGGTATGCTTCCCATCCCCTTACCATCTTGCTCTCCAATGGCCAGAAAGTTGCTGATGCTCTCGGCCACAGCTTTTCTCGTGCTTCTAGCACTTCTGTTTCTTCCCCTGCCTTCTTGGCCAGAAAGTCTCGGGCAGGACAGTGTGATCGCCTCTTTCCTTTCAGTCCAATCGTCTCTATGATTACAATCGCCCATTTACACTGGTGGAACTCAAACTTGCTCTTCATCGGTCTAGTAGTACATCGGTCAGAGCTGATGATGTTCATTATGAGAGAACCTTGTTTCTGTGTCCTTTGATCTCGAGAAGGCTTATGACATCACGTGGAGGTATGCAATTTTGCGGGACCTCCACTCCTATGGGTTGCATGGCCATTTACCCATTTTTATTCAAAACTTTTTACTGAACAGGCGATTCCAAGTCCGTGTGGGTTCAACTCTTTCCCGTTCCTTTCCACAGGAACTTGGAGTCCCTCAGGGCTGTGTCTTGAGTGTCACACTTTTTTAGGGTTAAAATTAATGCCATCACTAATAATCTTCCTCCGACTGTTGCAAATGGGCTCTATGTCAACGACTTCCACATCTCGTGTCAGTCGTCGAACATGAGGTTTATTGAGCGGCAGCTTTAGACTGCCCTAAATCGGTTGTTAACATGGACCACTGCAAACGGTTTTAAATTTTCTTTTTCCAAAACCGTTTGCATGCATTTTTGCCGCCAACGGGGTCTCCACCCTGATCACGAGCTCCGTCTCGGCGATATAGTTATTTGTGTGGTCCTTGAGGCAAAGTTCTTGGGCTTATCTTTGTCCGTAAGCTTAGGTTCATTCCACACATCAAGCAGCTACGTGTCAAGTGTGAGGGCTCTGAACATCCTCCGTTTCCTCTCTTCCAGCTCTTGGGGAGCAGATTGATGTTCTATGCTCAGGATCTATCATGTCCTGATTCGATCCAAACTGGTCTATGGTTCTGCCAGGACCTCGGCCCTGAAGATGCTGGACCCCATTCACCATCTGGGGCTTCGGCTCTGCACCAGTGCTTTTCACACTTCTCCAGTCCAGAATTTGTACACTGAGCCCCACGAACCTCCTCTTCACCTCCGTCATTTGCAACTTTCTTTACAATATGCTACTAAGCTTCGATCCTTACCACGGCATCCCACCTGGGATTGTGTTTTTTTCCTCAGTGGGCAATGCTCTTTTAGAACAGACAGTCTGCTATTCCTCCGTTATATCCGGGCACTACTGGCTGAATTAGGTTTGGCATCGGATGACATTGCTGTCCCCAATGATCAGCCCATTCCACCATGGCTTATTACCATCCCATTCTGTGACCTTTCCTTGAGTCATCTGAGGAAGGTGGATACTCCCGATTGGAAGTACCGTCTTCCTTTTGATGAACATCTTTCGAGCCATTCTTCTCTTCCTATTTACACGGATAGTTCGAAATCGGGTGACTCTGTAGGTTCTGCCATGGTGTGCTGTGGCTCGGTAGTTGCTCGCAGGATCCTCTCTACAGTTTCTGTGTTCACTGCCGAGTTGTATGCTATTTCTCTTGCCCTGGATCATGTAGAAGCTACACTGAGTGGTCACAAGTAAATAGACACCTAATTTTTCGTCATTTAACTGATTTATGCTAACTAATTTGTGTTCACAGAGCACTATATAAATGAAAATGATCCACACACTAATTATCTTGTGCTACAACATGCCTAGAACTCAAAGTTCTCTCGAATTGTCAGATTTTGTTAGAGGAAGGATAGTTGGTCAAGCAGATGGTGGAATAAGTCAGCAGCAAATTTTGCAGAATTTGGGAATCCCGCTTTCGACAGTCAACAGAATCATCGTCCAGTTCAGGAAACAACTGAGCAGCGTCCGGGTCATCCTGGTCCATTGGAGAGGACAAAAAGGGCTGTCAAGAGGAGCATCGAAATGGATCCTAGATTAACGGCTGCAGAAATGGCCAAAGTTGGTGGGATGAGCCCGAAATCTGTTCAATGGATTCTCCACAGGTTGGGTTATTTGCAGAGCAGCTAGACGGAAGCCCTTATTAAGACTTGCCAACATAGTCAA